ATATATATATATATATATATATTTGGCCTATTATTTAATTCAGGAAAAATCTGGTAAAATCGGGTCCGCGGCGCAGACCCGGTAGACCGCGGAGGCGGCCATGAATACGTCCGCCCTCCGAGCTCGGCCCCGCGGACGCGTTCGCGGGTGTTTCATAGCTGGGCGGTCATGCAAAGGAGGATCCGGGTGCACCCTGAAATCCACCAGGTCAGTCATGCGATCCTCATACTCCATAGCGAGATTGGAGACAAGGAGGTCGACGGCGTCCGCGAGGACGTCAATCCCCCCGTCCCAGCGGTTGGGGATGGCGAGGACAACCTTCTTCACGTAACCCACGACTTCGCACAACATTTTATCTTGAAAACCCACAGCGACACTGGCGGAGAGGACGGTTTCTCCGTTGGCGTCCACCTCGTAGTGCCGCACTTCACGCCGCGTGATGGGTTTTACGAAATCGTAAACACACCCATCCTCCTGTCCACGATGATGTCTGAGTTCATAGTACGTGATCGTCCGTCCGAGCACACGCCCCTTTACCGCAATCTCGATATCCATCGATGTGCACGTGCGAATCCCGAAGCAGGTGCGATGACGAAAAGATGTGCGAACCCCTAATGTATGGATGTCCTGAACCGATCCTGACTCGAAAACAAGTGCGCAGTTCACCATACGGTTTGTGATGAACTGCGGCAAGAGCAAGCGCTCCCCTCACAGAATCAGGGGGATGGACGACAGCACGACATCCGACAACCCTAAAGCACCAGCACACGCTGTCCGCGCACCACGTTCTTTACGACTCCGATGTGCCAACTTTCTCATCGCCCACCGACACATCACACGCATCCAATTTATGATCATCCACAACTTTAATGTAAACCGAGTCTGCCTTTGGATCCACGCCCACCACCCGGGCCTGTGGCCCTGCAGACGTCACTCCCATCACACGACAAGCTGCCAGCTGGACCGTCAGATCGTCAACCGTCGGTCGGTCGGGAGGGCATCTATCGGTTCGGCTCTCGAGCGCAGTCTTGCACGCTACAGTTACTGCGTGCGACCGACACTGCGCTACTGTTCCACACGCGAGCACAACCCCCATGCCTCGGGGAACATCGACACGTGCTGCATGCACGTGGACGGGTACAAAAAAATAAAATAATAATAAAAAATAAAATAAAATAATTCAAAGTACAAACAAAAATCCAGGACAGCAATCTTCTGAAATGACAATTGCAGATCGGTTCGTCCATCATCGAAGACCCTTGCTTCGTAATCCGCGGGAGAACTTTGCTAATCACCACCACCACTCCACAACCAGTACAGAAGTCGCTATCCCAACCGCAACCACCCCTCCGCCACCACTACAGACATCGCTACCTAAACTGCGCAGTCACTCCCGTGCCAAAGCCGACGCGATCTGTCAAGAGTGCATCGCACAACATCCACTGCCCAGCATCCAGAAGTTCACACTGCCTCTCATGGGTTCTCGCTTCCCTGTCCATAATGTCGCACTGCCTCGAGAGGACGTCGCACTGCCGCTTGCTTTCGCGGTCCACAGATTCGACAACGGCGGTGGAGTGCGTTTTCATGACCTTGGTCACCGCCTCGAATGCCAGTTGCCTGGCGTTCTTCCGCTTCCCCTGCTGCCCTGCATGACGTTCGTTGATGACTTTCTGCCATATCCATCGCCCACATCCGCCTCCTTGTTTTCGCTCGCCGAAGTGTCAGCTTCCCCTCCGCCCGATGCCGCTTGGCTATGCTCCCCTTGCTGGGATTGTTGTGCCTGTCTGTTGCCCGTGTCGACGATATTCGGCGGGTGAACTGCCTGATTGTTCCCCTGCATGATGTGGATGGCGTCATACAAAGTGCGGTCGAGGTTGAACTTGTATCCTTTCTCCCTTCTTATTTTCGAGCTCATGAGGAAGTAAGACTGCAGTCCCGACTCCTTCTCCCTGTCCCAAACTTTCCTGTACCACCCGAATATATTCTCCCACCTCTTCATGCACTGGTCCCCGTCCTGTCGAACTCCTTCCTTGTCCATCATGTTCGCAATGTCCGCCCATTTCCGGTCCTTCGTTTTCATGCGGGCGAAGTTGGTGCCCGCATTGGCAAAGTAGTCATCTTGGTCTCTCTTGCCGCGGACAAGGACCAGAGACTCGTTCAAATTCCAGTTCGCCCGCCCACCACTTTCGCCACCTTCCCCATTTGTCCCACCCTCCTTGGCCGTCGCCTTCCCCTTTCCCCGACCTTTCGATGTTTGTTTTCTCTTCCCGGCAGGTGTCGCTTCCTTCACGACAACCTCTTCCTCTTCGTCGTCATCTTCAATGTCGATGTCAACCAACTCAGCTTCACTTGCAGCACCACCCTGTCGTGCTCCCTCGCCGACACTGTTCGCCCGCATGTTGTTGAAGCGACACACAATATGCTCCACACAACGATGGGATCCAGCACTGGTGGACACGTCAGGCCTCCCTCCATAGACGTTGGGGGCATTCGACGATGGGTGATGGACAACAGTTTGCACCCGGTTCGGCCGATGCTGTGAAACCCCCTCATCAAACCCGGCGTCTTGCATTGTCCAAGAGGTGCTTCCTCCGCCATGGCCATTTTCGTTGACGAGGACCGCTCTAGACATATCCATGGTGGTGGATGGAGAGAGACGCAAATCAACCGGAATACGGCGTCCTCCCGGCACATCGGCCAGCAGTGCGGACATGGGACCAAGACCCCCGACCCGTTCGTCCACTCTGGCAGGTGTGTCGTAAGACGTTTGAGTCGACCCCCATGCCAGATCCAGGGTAGACGGGGGGGGGGGGGCAACTGGTCTCATCAGGCAATGGCTGCTGGTGAGGGGGCAAATGCGAATACAGATTTGGATCAAACCTGTGATGCACAATCTGCTCCACCCCACTTCCAACTCCATAGGCCCTCCCGCCCATCCCATACCCCCCTGCCCCCCTTCTGTATCCATCGCCCATGCTTGTGCTCACCGAAGCAGCCCGCCGAAGCTTCTTCAAACCCCTCCTTCTTCCACGTCGGCTGCAATTGCCAGCCAGTTGCCACGCGTGCAGAATGATCACCAATGCCAACACCCCAACTTGAAGCAGGAAAATGAATAGAGACGTCTTCCGCACCATGTAAGCAATGTGCTCATCCCGTAAAGTACAAGGATAGGAGTCACATGACCTGGCACCTATCGAACGAGACAAAGGGCTGCAATATACGGGAGCACATGTGATGACTGACGGAGGAACCACAAGACGACCGATGGGGGACGTCGACATCCCGTGCTCGAATTCGAACTTCACCGGCAACGGTCATCTCACCCGCCACCGCACGGGCCTGTGCAACGGGCGCCTTCAAACGGTTGCTGAAACGCCCCGGTGGAGGGAATGCAGGGGCAACCGCAATGGCACCACACGACTGTTGGAGGTCGCTGTGGGCCTACTGTCCCATGGTCTAGCGGACAAGACCACTGTTGGACCAGGAACGGCAACCAAACACCTGACATAAAAAAAAAAAAAAAAAAAAAAAAAAAAAAAAAAAAAAAACGTTTTTTCCGCGGACGTAAGGGTGCCACCCCCCACTTTTAAGTCACCTCCACGGGCGTCCTTACGTTAAGGTCCGTTTTGGCTGGGCGGTCCTTGCTTTTGTAGGGCCCGCCCTTACGGCGGCGAATGTGAAAACAAGTTGGACTTCTTTTTCTTCGTGATTAGGGAGGGGTGGAACGATGAAAACCGTACATGTAAGGTTTTTGTAGTGGTGTCGAACGAGGCCCTTTCCCCTAACACAACGCACCCTCATTTTGACCAGGGTTGTGCCGGCAACCGGCCGGTTGGGCCCAAAAGTGGGTAAAAATAAAAATAAAAAAATAAAATAAAATTGAAAACATGGTTGGACTGCGCTTGCCGAGATATCCCCAAATCCACAAAGAAAACTTTGAGCAAAGAAGTTTCGTTTGGGGGGTTGGGGGGGTTCCTCCAGGGGTCGGGGGGGTTATGGTGAGGGTGTTAGTGGTGGGGTCTCAGCAAGCACGGGCTTCAACAGACATTGACAGGCTCAAAGGTTAGAGCACCGGTTGGAAATGCGCATTGTGGTATGAGGTTGTGGGTTCAAAACTCAATTGGAACCTTGCGCATGGACACCGGCAGGGCGTTAGATTGACGCACGGCTGGACACACTCCCTTGGGCTGACGCATGGTACTATTACAGACACTGCTTGCGCACCACCCAAGGGTTGTTCATGGTGTTGTATGCTGGTTCTGGGTTTCACGTGGGTTGCTTGGGGGTGTTGGTCTTGGGTGTTCTGTTGATCTCCCCAGTCTGGCATATCACACGTTCGTGCCATTTCCACTAGGCGTTCACATGGTAGAGTCATACGATTACATGTTTCAAGGTCACGCGTTCGAGCTTGGTTCGGATCTTGGGGGGGTCCTTGTCCAGCTTACCCCGTTCTCTCTTCGATATACACACATGATCCTGCCTATACATCTCAATACACTGATTCATAGAGCACACACAACCTTCGCGCATATACATAGCTTGTGAATTATACAATGCCTACGGGCTACATACACAAGTTCCACACATAGTGTTGTCTGTACATCTTCATACATAGATACACAAAACATACATGTGACGAACCAGCTCCCGGCCCTGCGCCAACTTTCGGACCCCTTCTCTCCCCCTGCATTTCTCTGCATCTAGATGTGTCTCGTTTGACCCCCGAGAACCCCCCTCCCCCTCCCTCTGTTTTTGCTCGATTAAAGGTACCTCTTTGAAATCTGTTAATTCTTTTTTTTTGTAAATGCATGGGAATTTCGCGCGCCTTAGCGAGTGCGCTCGGAATTGGGCTCGACAGTTAGGAATTCCGGAATTAACGGAATACCGTGCGACCTTTCGCGCGGGAATGTTCTCGGCCTCAACCTGAAAAACTCTGGGAATTCTTGTAGGAATATGAATGAATGAGGACCTTCTTTCTTTCCCGTGCCTACTTTGCGCGCGGATATGACACTTTCAATTTTTGAATTAGCATAGGATTGGGGAAAAGTGCAACTGTTTAGGTGCCCATTTCAAAACATATTATATTTTTTGAACGAAATAAAAACTGATTTTTTTTGCTAAAATCCGGCCGGAATTTTTTGCTCCTGGGGGTCCG